TGTGCGGGTCGTAATTAGAATCTAATTACATGTCAAAAATTATAGCAGTTATCAATTTCAAAATCAAAAATATTTACCGCAGTGCATTTTTGTATGAACTTGACATGTAAGCAAAATTATAACTCATGAGATTGTCTAATATTTATCAGATGATTACATGTGTTAACATTTAGAATTAAGGGACACTTACAAAAATGCCACTTTTTGTGTGCACATTTGCAAGAATGCCATTTATGGGTGTCTATTTACAAAAATGCCACTAATTATAGATTTATAAAGCCTATATCTTAAAATTCTAAACCCTAAAAAATGTTTTGACCTCTAAAACCCCCTAAACCCTCATAACTAAACCCTAATAGAACATAATTAACCCAAACATAAATGATATAAAGAAAAAATAATTTTGAAAAAGTGGCATTTTTGTAAAGATTTCAAAAGTGTGGCATTTTTGTAAAGTGGCACTTGAAAAGTGGCATTTTTTAAAATTTCTCTAGAATTAATTAAGAAAAAAACAATTTAAAATGGAAAACTAACCAAATAATTGTCAAATTACTAATCAAATAGTAAAAAGTAAAATTTTTGATAATCCATATTAATTAAGACGGAATATAGAGATGACATAAGCTATAAAAGAAACAAATAATACATATAGAATAAAAATATCACTTTAAATAAATAAAAAGATGAATAATAAACAAAAAAAGGTATATAAATTGGAAAAAAAGTTATAAAGGTTATGGAAACATCAGTTTAAAAGTTTAAGATATATATTTTCAATATATAGTTATAGAATATTGCAAAAAAAATGAGAATCTTCGACCTATGATGTCATTGGTATTTTCTAGTGTTAAAAACAAAAAAATTGTATATATTGAAATTTTAAAAAGGTAAAAAAATAATAATAATATATTTACTATTAAGATAATAGTCTACAAGGTTTGGCGAGTATAAATCTCGATAAAAAATAATCTGATGACATTAATGTAATACAATTACCAATGATGTACTTACGTGATTGTTCACAGTATTTTTTTATAGTATTTTATGAGTTTACTAACATAACTCGTAAAATTTACTCTTTTATGATTTAAAAATATAGTATTTTAATTGTTTTTATTGTTCTATCACATAATTCATAAATATTCAAACTATTAAAAATAGATATTTTTCTTTGTTACTAAGAATATGATTTAAATTCCGATTGTATATACTTTTGGATATGCATGATATAGATTAGTACATGATAATTATGATTTAAATTGACTTCTACTGATTTTAGGTTCCACATTTAAATAATATTTTAAAATTTAGCGGGCTACTAATTAAAATTAAAA